CACATGTCAGTCCTCCCGGTGCTTGCAACGCACAGGTGCATTTGAGCGGCCGCTCTCAGGATGATGCCACGGTGGGATATTTCTTCCAAAGGCAAGCTGGAGAACAGGTGAACGGCTACACCAACAAACACCGCTGGCCGACAGGGGATAGTGTGGAGGCTCCGGTATGTAGTTTAAGGTGTTGCCTGCTTTTCTTATTAGGTATTGGGTCACCTACTTTTCTTTTTGGGTAGGGGGTCCCCTACTTTAATTAGGTTCTTATTACCTCACTGAATGCGTTTCTTGATGTAATCTGCCATTTTTGTTTTACCTGCTCTACTATATCTTTCTGTGTCATATAGCTCTTTGTAAAACAGACATGTTTCGTTACTGCTTGTAAGGTCTCAAAACTGTTTTTTGTATAGATTTGTAATACGTATTAGGGAGGCACCGACGCAGAGTATTTGGGCCAGTACTCGTACTCGCCCAAATGCTCCGATACTTCCCTCCGATACCGGAGCTTCCGGTTAGAGGGATATCTCCCTCTGAATGACAGTGCAGAGGGAGCATGGAGCCGCCTTCCTTTCCAATCAGGAATCCGGGAGGTTGGTTATAACCCGCTTCCCGGCTTCCTGATTGGTTAGGAAGCCAGGCTGCCTAGCAACAATTGAAGCCAGCTTCCTAGCCAATCAGGAAGCCGGACGGCACGTAATGACCCGCCGCCTGGCTTCCTGATTGGCTAGGAAGCCAGACAGCCTCAGCAAGCGAAAAAGAACACAGGCAATCAGGAAGCCGGCGAAGGGTCATGATCCGCCGCCTGACTTCATCATAGTCGGGGCACATGGCACTGGTACTCTGTATTAGCGAGTACCAAAGAAGATATCGGTACTCAATACCGAAAAACTGGTATCGGTGCATCCCTAGTAATTATATATGTAAGTGTATAGAAGCAGCCATATCTGCTCATGAGAAAACTCTGTTGTCTGCTTTGCAGTGCTCCACAATGGTTGTGCTTTCTCACAATGCAAGTCTGTCAGTCAACCGATTGATTGAGAACAATGCACTTCCTGTGTAATCAACAGTTTTGGGGGATTTACAAATGTCTGGGCCCCCTCCACCTGTGGGGAAAAAAATCTGCTGATAGTAGGTCTAAAAGGTACCTGTAAAGAAAAAAGATTTTATATTTGCCTTACCCCCCTGACTTCTGAATTGCTGGGCATGATGTGGCCATCCTTCCAGGGAGATTCCTGGGAATGCAGAGCAGGTAAAACCTAATGAGGAGATATTCCAGGCAATTGCAAGAGCATCTTGTTGCAAGATTTGAGCTGCTCTGTGTTCCCCAAGATCTTGCTAGAAGTTGGGGCTCCACAGGCAGGAGGTGGGGAGGGATGAGATTGGATTTGATGGGTTGCGCACATCAGAAACAGACCCTGAATTGTACTGCAAAGTTTGTTTCATAGAGAACCAATCAAATGCTTGACCTATGTAAGAATCTCAATACTTAGTCTCAAATATTATACTGGTGCAGGTTTATTAAAGCTGAACTCCAGGTATGAGTTGGTTTGCATACTTATATTGGTCCAGTTTGGCCCAGAGTAAGCATGCATATGTCATACCTGATTGGCAACTGGGCATGCTGCAAAGCACTGTGATAGCCGGGGCCACTGCAGTGCTAATAGCGATCTTTTGGGTACAGTGCTGTGCTAAGCGCATTCCCTTCTACTCTGAAATCACAGGGGGTTGCTGGCTCGGCACAGCGGCCATTTAGATACCTCCTGGTGTTTTTATCAGTGCATTAGACTTGTAAGTTTTGTTTCTTTCCGAAATTGAAATTCGGACGAATTTCTTTAAATTCGGATGCATCTGAATTTCCAAATGGCAAAAATAATGAATTCAAACTATTATCCGAATTTTTTTGGTAAAATTTGATTGTATCCAAATTTTGTCACAAACTTGTGTGTTAAATGTGAAAATCGAAAAAAGTGTGGGCCCCCCCCCAAAAAAATGATATCAAATCCTTTAGGTCTGGTAAGAATCTTAGGGGGTACCCTATGCCAAAAAAAGCATGGGGTCCCCCCCCCAAAATATCCCTTACCAGAACCTTGATCCAAACAGCAAAAAGCGGGGGGCTAGGGGTAATCGCGCATGCTTCCCCCAGCCCCGCACACCATACCAGGCCACTCACCCTCAACATGAGGACAGGGGGCCTCTTCCCCACAGTCCTAACCCAGTCGTTGTTGGGGTCTGAGATAAGGGGGGGCTTATCTGAATCTGGGTGCCCCCTTTTCATTATATTTTCCATTTGTAAATAAAATATCAAGTTCCCATTAAGGCCCCTTTACATGGGCGGTCCAACAGTCATTTTTTCAGGCGGACTCAATCAGCTGCCCAATGCTAGTCTATAGGCAGCCGGGTCTTAAAGGACTGCTGTCCCTTTACACCCCAAACTCTAGCTGGAGGAGAAAACCCAGACAGACGCAGACGTCAAAGTGGTGGCATCTGATCTGTACTGTTCCGACCAGGAGGATCGTGATGCATGGATTTCCTCCTGATCGGTCTGTGTGACGAAGCCCCCCCCCCCCCTCATTTATTAGTATTCATAGTGGCAACCCCCCCTGGACAGTGTATTGTGACCAGGAAAGGCCGAGCTGGTGTACACTGATCTTGTTACAATGTGTTACAGGGAGGGGGTCGGCTGGTTTACAATCTGACTGCCATGTCAGGCTCAGCCTAATAAGTCCATTAGAAAAAAAAATAAAGCCAGCAATGTGATTCATGAAAATGTACAGACGCATGCATCATCACTGCACCTCTACGTTACCACAATAATCGCTTTAAGCCCCTTATTGCGTTCACTATCGTGGCTCATTTTTGGTTTTCGTGTCTTTTGCAGGTGCCTATGAGGAATGAACGTTCCATGCGTCGTAGGCATGAATGAAGTGGCTTGGCAAGAGACCAGAGGAATAATGCATGCGAGCAATGGGCAGGAGGCACTCGGGGTTGCAGTCGGGATGGTCCCTACTGGAGGAACAGCATCAGGGCCCATTGGAATCAATCCACATGCCATTCCTCCCGGTGCTTCCAACGCACAGGTGCATTTGAGCGGCCGCTCTCAGGATGATGCCACGGTGGGATATTTCTTCCAAAGGCAAGCTGGAGAACAGGTGAACGGCTACACCAACAAACACCGCTGGCCGACAGGGGATAGTGTGGAGGCTCCGGTATGTAGTTTAAGGTGTTGCCTGCTTTTCTTATTAGGTATTGGGTCACCTACTTTTCTTTTTGGGTAGGGGGTCCCCTACTTTAATTAGGTTCTTATTACCTCACTGAATGCGTTTCTTGATGTAATCTGCCATTTTTGTTTTACCTGCTCTACTATATCTTTCTGTGTCATATAGCTCTTTGTAAAACAGACATGTTTCGTTACTGCTTGTAAGGTCTCAAAACTGTTTTTTGTATAGATTTGTAATACGTATTAGGGAGGCACCGACGCAGAGTATTTGGGCCAGTACTCGTACTCGCCCAAATGCTCCGATACTTCCCTCCGATACCGGAGCTTCCGGTTAGAGGGATATCTCCCTCTGAATGACAGTGCAGAGGGAGCATGGAGCCGCCTTCCTTTCCAATCAGGAATCCGGGAGGTTGGTTATAACCCGCTTCCCGGCTTCCTGATTGGTTAGGAAGCCAGGCTGCCTAGCAACAATTGAAGCCAGCTTCCTAGCCAATCAGGAAGCCGGACGGCACGTAATGACCCGCCGCCTGGCTTCCTGATTGGCTAGGAAGCCAGACAGCCTCAGCAAGCGAAAAAGAACACAGGCAATCAGGAAGCCGGCGAAGGGTCATGATCCGCCGCCTGACTTCATCATAGTCGGGGCACATGGCACTGGTACTCTGTATTAGCGAGTACCAAAGAAGATATCGGTACTCAATACCGAAAAACTGGTATCGGTGCATCCCTAGTAATTATATATGTAAGTGTATAGAAGCAGCCATATCTGCTCATGAGAAAACTCTGTTGTCTGCTTTGCAGTGCTCCACAATGGTTGTGCTTTCTCACAATGCAAGTCTGTCAGTCAACCGATTGATTGAGAACAATGCACTTCCTGTGTAATCAACAGTTTTGGGGGATTTACAAATGTCTGGGCCCCCTCCACCTGTGGGGAAAAAAATCTGCTGATAGTAGGTCTAAAAGGTACCTGTAAAGAAAAAAGATTTTATATTTGCCTTACCCCCCTGACTTCTGAATTGCTGGGCATGATGTGGCCATCCTTCCAGGGAGATTCCTGGGAATGCAGAGCAGGTAAAACCTAATGAGGAGATATTCCAGGCAATTGCAAGAGCATCTTGTTGCAAGATTTGAGCTGCTCTGTGTTCCCCAAGATCTTGCTAGAAGTTGGGGCTCCACAGGCAGGAGGTGGGGAGGGATGAGATTGGATTTGATGGGTTGCGCACATCAGAAACAGACCCTGAATTGTACTGCAAAGTTTGTTTCATAGAGAACCAATCAAATGCTTGACCTATGTAAGAATCTCAATACTTAGTCTCAAATATTATACTGGTGCAGGTTTATTAAAGCTGAACTCCAGGTATGAGTTGGTTTGCATACTTATATTGGTCCAGTTTGGCCCAGAGTAAGCATGCATATGTCATACCTGATTGGCAACTGGGCATGCTGCAAAGCACTGTGATAGCCGGGGCCACTGCAGTGCTAATAGCGATCTTTTGGGTACAGTGCTGTGCTAAGCGCATTCCCTTCTACTCTGAAATCACAGGGGGTTGCTGGCTCGGCACAGCGGCCATTTAGATACCTCCTGGTGTTTTTATCAGTGCATTAGACTTGTAAGTTTTGTTTCTTTCCGAAATTGAAATTCGGACGAATTTCTTTAAATTCGGATGCATCTGAATTTCCAAATGGCAAAAATAATGAATTCAAACTATTATCCGAATTTTTTTGGTAAAATTTGATTGTATCCAAATTTTGTCACAAACTTGTGTGTTAAATGTGAAAATCGAAAAAAGTGTGGGCCCCCCCCCAAAAAAATGATATCAAATCCTTTAGGTCTGGTAAGAATCTTAGGGGGTACCCTATGCCAAAAAAAGCATGGGGTCCCCCCCCCAAAATATCCCTTACCAGAACCTTGATCCAAACAGCAAAAAGCGGGGGGCTAGGGGTAATCGCGCATGCTTCCCCCAGCCCCGCACACCATACCAGGCCACTCACCCTCAACATGAGGACAGGGGGCCTCTTCCCCACAGTCCTAACCCAGTCGTTGTTGGGGTCTGAGATAAGGGGGGGCTTATCTGAATCTGGGTGCCCCCTTTTCATTATATTTTCCATTTGTAAATAAAATATCAAGTTCCCATTAAGGCCCCTTTACATGGGCGGTCCAACAGTCATTTTTTCAGGCGGACTCAATCAGCTGCCCAATGCTAGTCTATAGGCAGCCGGGTCTTAAAGGACTGCTGTCCCTTTACACCCCAAACTCTAGCTGGAGGAGAAAACCCAGACAGACGCAGACGTCAAAGTGGTGGCATCTGATCTGTACTGTTCCGACCAGGAGGATCGTGATGCATGGATTTCCTCCTGATCGGTCTGTGTGACGGGGGCACAAAACGAGAATTCTCTCACAAATGTTAACTTGTGAGGGCACATAATGGAGATTGGAACGTTTTGGGACTCTTCCTAAAGAGCTTCCCCACCGCTCCTTTCTCTGTTTCAGCTGGCTGTAAGCATTCATATTATTGGCTGACGTCTGAAGCCGAGGGGAGCGGTGACGCCACTCCCTTGGTCATGTGATGTGCTAGCAATTGGCTGGTAAACCCGATCACTGTCAGAGGAGCCAGCACATGCTCTCCTATACCGGGAACGGAAGCTCTGGGTCTCCGGCTGTGACAGAGTAAGGAGTAACACGGGAAGCGGGGATTTTGCTGTTTGCTCATAGGGGGGTTTCTATCTTTCTTGGGAATCCTCTTTCAGAGAGGTGGCTGGTAATGTACAGTAGGGCTGCAACAACTAATCGACATAATCGATTATAATCGATTATTGAAAAAGTTGTCAACTTTTTCAATAATCGATTAATCGGCTTCCGATCAGTTGGCCCTGTTCACGGGTCCACAAACGCTGCGCGCCGCACCTCCTCCCCAAGTGGGTGGCTGGGAATGTACAGTAGGGCTGCAACAACTAATCGACATAATCGATTATAATCGATTATTGAAAAAGTTGTCAACTTTTTCAATAATCGATTAATCGGCTTCCGATCAGTTGGCCCTGTTCACGGGTCCACAAACGCTGCGCGCCGCACCTCCTCCCCAACTCACGCTCACCGCTGCCAGACCCGCCCGCATCCACGCTCTACACGCCGCACCTCCTTCCCGCCTCACACTCGCCGCCCGCCCACATCCACGATTGGCACA